TTCCATTATGTAACTCAAGAAAAAAATTTAAAAAATGGGTAACAATTGCACCGAAAAGATAAAATCGAGTGCACCTTTTTATGTTAGGGCGTGTTTGAGTTAAATATTTTGTCTAGAAAACGTATAAAGCAAGAGTATTTGATACATCATCTCGCTTCAGATTCTATTATTTTTATATATCAAGGCTGCGGGTTGACTTTATAACATCGAAAGTTCACAGTACTAAAAAATTAGATATATGGGTCAAGTGAAATACCTTTCTAATGCATGAATCACAAAACAGAGTAGGTGTGTTCGAATAGCAAATTTTTACTAAAAGTACTTGACGACTGACTTTTAAGTTGGATCTTAAAAATGCATATCTTCGAAAAAACTTCATTTTTTGTGTGTGATAATTAGGATTTATAGTCTTCAACCACTGAAAATTTTTAGTCTGCCCTTCCACGAAATATTTAATAAGAATTTTTTTAAATGTTTATGAATTTCCGAAAATTCCACCTGACAACCGATCCGACAATAGTTTTTAGTTGACTGAATGCAGACAAGTACATTAACTGATGCTCATTAGCTAGTAGATACATTTGTCTTTTAAAATACACCTGGCATATAAGGATCGTAATGGTGCTATGTGGATAAATTTATCGGTTTTCAAGAGCTAAATTGGAAGCGCGTCATCCCTACAATGGCTTCCATTTTTACGATTGTAAAAATGAACTGGCATAATGGGGAGATAATTTTGACGAAGTAGAATCCTGACTGGTACCAATCACTGTCTCATTGTTCAGGAAAACAAATTAAAATAAACCCGCGTAGACATGATAATCATTAGGATTTATACCGAAAAGCTCTATTAATTTCCTACGGAAGCCGATAAGGGCCATTCAAAAAAAAATTTTTATGTTGTAATTACGACATAACATGTCGTAATAACGACATCACTATGTCGTAATTTCGACATAACATGTCGTTATAACGATATCGCTATGTCGTAATTTCGACATAACATGTCGTTAAAACGACATCGCTATGTCGTAATTTCGACATAACAAGTCGTAATTACGACATCACTATGTCGTAATTACGACATAGCTATGTCGTAATAACGACATCGCTATATATATAAAACAATATGTATTATGATTGCCAAGAGACTAAATGACACAGAAATAAACAACTATAGGTCATCATAATGCCCACAATAATGAGAAAAGCCCCCGCATAGTCAGCTATAAAAGAGGGACGAAAGATACCAGAGGGAGAGTCCCCGAAGTGACAGCTGTTTAACAATTTAATTCAAACGAGTGAAAATAACGGTTTTAATAATGTACAAACAAAGACCGAAACACGAATATGTAACACAGCAACAAATGACAACCACTGAATTACAGACTCCTGACCGCTATCTGATAATAACGACAACCTTATAGTTTAACTTTTCACTTTTTGAAGCGATAGGAATTTCAAAATGGTCGCCATTAAAGGCAAAGTTTGTATCGTAAACAATTTCAAACCTATTTCAAGGTGTCGTAAACAAAACTATGCAACACGTCAAGTGTCTATGCTTCATTTTTTTATGCCAAGTACTCAAGAAAAACACTAGTATTCAATACAATTCCTTTTTAGAGTTGAAACTTTCAATAAATACACTTAATGGACATACTAAGAAATGATCAAAGCCATTGTCTTTTACTTTGATAATATTTATGTTCGTATTTGTTATAACTTATATCATCAAGTTATATATAATCTGAAAGGGGAAAACTGCACACCATGAATACTAGTGATGGTTTTCTATCAACTCATCACACACAACTTGACAGATAAAATAAGTAGATTTCTGATCCTGTAAAAATAATAGATTTCGAAGCCCATCGCCCTAGACCACTTGATCAACTAGCTTTCGTAAGCCGAGTAATGCCTGTCCTGGATATATATATCAATATTTAAACAAGAGGCTGTCAAAGTGACAGCAAACCGGATTTGGACCAACTTGAAAACTGGGCCCAAAAATCTAATATTTGAATACAGGTTTAGATTCAGCATTTGAAAGAACCCTATATATATTTAATTTATGTTGAAATGAAACACAGGTTAATTTTATCCATAATATTTTCTGTGTAAAGAGAAATAACTCAAACTGGATAAAAAGTTCTATACAAATATTTTTATTTTTGATTTTTTGTGTTTTTAACGCCACTTTTAAGCACCGCTTTTGGGCTATTTCGTGGCGGCCAGTTTTTATTGGTGGAGGAAGCCGGAATGCCCGGAGAAAACCACCGACCTTCGATAGGAGAACTGACAATCAGGCCGAGTTCACTTGAAATACTAGAGTTAACTTTACTAACTCGGGTTTCAACAATCCGAGTTTACTCGAAACCTCTCGAGTTAACCCCTCTTACCCCGGTTCCAATCCTCACTGAGCCAGGGTTAAACTCGAGAAACCCTTGAATGACGTCAAAACAATCAGATTTTTTTCCTTTTTTATGCTTAGTTAGGGCCTTACCCTAGAGTTACTTACAGTTGTTCCGAATAGCAACTCGAGTGCGTTCACGTGATACTCTTGAAACTCTATAGTGGACTCTAGAGTTTCAAGTGAACTCAGCCTCCTAGTCAATTAAGATTGGATTTGAGTGCACCCGCACGAGCGAGGTTCGAACTCACAACCTCAGTGTTGACTGGCTAGTGATTACAGTAGTAACTACTTAGACCACTCGGCCACCGAGGCCCCTTCTATAAAATAAGATATGATGCAATTTTTCAAATTATAATCAATAATATAATAACAACAACCAGTGATAACTTAGTTCTCTAAAATTAGATATGATTTAACACTCAAACATTGTTAGAATCAGCATATCAAAGAACCAAAGAATTCAATTTTTGATGAAATTAAACAAAAGTTTAATTTAGGACCCTTTGGACCTCAATGTGGTATTATCTTATTAATGATGAAAAGAAATACAGGTTTAGATTAAGCATTTCAAAGAACCCTATATATATTCAATTTATGTTGAAATCATACACAGTTTAATTTTGGACCCCGATTTGGACCAACTCGAAAACTGGGCCCAAAATCAGAAATCTAAATATATGTTTATTAATAGACAATATAAGCTTAGTTTTTAAAGGAGTTCACTTCATCAAAAAAAAATATATAGCATTCAGAAAATTAGTTTTTACAGAATAACAAACAAACTTGCCACAAAATTCTTCAAACAATTTACAAAAGAAAAGAAGAAAAAAATCTAAAATTTTATTTATCATTAATACAATGTCTTTTCAAAATCTATTAAACTTATCAGTAACAAGAAATAATTGTAACAGGATGCTGTTACAAAGTCTCCCAAACAAAGCTCCAATAATTTGTCATTCCCATGGTCGCCTAACATTGGGCAAAGTCCAGTACAAATTGGTTTGTGATATGCATAGGATTATTGAGAAAAGCTTTTCACATTTATCTAATGTGTTTTCATGAGTACTTGTCTTGGAATTGCTAGAACAATACTTTCTCAGATTTATACACTTTATGATAAGAGTCTCAAACAAGTGAACCTATAAATTAAATACTATGTTTTATTTTTGTAAATATCTTTAATGTATTGCATTTGTGATGTATCACTAAATCATCTTTAAAATTCTTGCCAGTATTTCATATTACCCAGTATTGCCCAGTATTACCAGGTAAAACCCAGTAAAACCCGAGTTTTCCCGGTATTTCCCACTGGGCTGGACAATACTCATACAACCCGGGTTTTTGCCAACCATGTTTTCGGGCCCTAATTATACGGTTTGGGCCATGACCCCAAAACCAATCCCAAATTTCCTTTTAAAGTATGGAACCTTGATGTAAATTTTCATAGAGATCCATTCTTATACACAAATTATTGTCCTGAAACATGAAAAATGCTCGTTTTTGTCCCCTTTTTGGCATCTAATTACTAAACAGCTACGACAATAACACCTAAAATAAACTTTTCTATTGTGGTATGGAATCTTGTGCTAAAATTTAATAGAAATCCATACACTTATACTCAAGTTATTGTCTGTGAACCAGAAAAAAATATTTGTTTTTGACCCCTAATTACTAAACAGCTACGACAATAACCTCCAAAACCAATCCCAACCCTCCTATTGTGGTATTGAATCTTGCGTTAAAATTTCATAGAGATCCATACACTTATACTCAAGTTATTGTCTGCGAACCAATTTATTGTCTATGAACTTGTAAAATTGCTTGTTTTTGGACCCTTTTTGGCCCCTAATTACAAAACGGCTTCGACAATACCCCCAAAAATCAACCCAAACCTTCTTATTGTGGTGTGGAACCTTGCGCTAAAATTTCATTGAGATCCATACACTTACTAGTATACTCAAGTTATTGTAAGCGAACCAAAATGTCTTGGGACGCCGACATCGCCATAACATAATACGAACGCAAAAAAAATTGCAGTCGTATACAAAGCAGGGGTTTCAATCCCAGAACCCCTTTCTGAATTCACTAATGCATATTCAGGTCACCATACGGCTGCCAACAATGGAGAGGGTCCACCTTTATAACTCCCTGAAATATGAACAAGTTGAGCCGAGAATTGTTGATGAAAAATATATATTTTAGGGGTTGGTAGAAAATTCAACAATCGCTCTGTTGAGGTCAAAGTTAGCACTTTAAAATTTATTTAAGAATCGAATGCTTCTATTTATAATTTTATTGGGAAGTAAAAGTATTGACCGAATCACAATTAGTATGAATCGTGGAAGCGCTTCATGTTAAAAATGTGTGCACGATCAACGCTTTTACAACCCTATAAAATTATACAAAGAAGCATTCAATTCTTATAATTACATTTGTATGCTACAACCATGAAATTAAGAGTAATATCAAGATTATCGTTGGTTTTTCTATGCATTGTTTTAACATTGTCACGGATAGCTTTTGCAGCCATAGCTGTTGTATTTTATGCGGAAATAAAATTTGATAGGGAATACTTCTGACTAAATTTCATAAGAACATGGCTAAAATTGCAGATGTAAACTAAATCAATGACTCTAGTTTTTATTACTTTCTTTATTTGTTTGTTAAGAACAATAATTAGAAGTTACAAAAAATGAATTAAAAATCTTTCTCTCTCTTTCTCTCTTCAAATTATAGCTGACATATTGACCCTCTTCGATGAAAATGTATGCTTTGTTATATTATGTGGCATGTCGATATTGACGTATGCATGATAGTCTTTGTCTTGCCAGCTGAAAGCTTATATTTCGAAAGGTTCAAAGGACACTGACTATGCTTGTTAATAAGGACACTGGCCCCGCCAAGCATTACACATGCTCGTTATGAGGACTGTCCTCAAACTAGAATATCCTCTTTCCTTATTACAGTTGACACACTGACATTGTTCACATTATATTACATCCACGTCGTTTGCGACAGATCTGTCGATGTTTGCTAACGTAGTTGCAACTAATTGGCGAATTTTTTTCGCCTGATGTCGAAGACGAAGAAGGAGTTAAAGCAGGGGAATATGTCGACTTTTGTACTGAAAAAAAAGACATCGATACACATTAGTGAAGTTTGATCCTTGTGTGTGGATTTATAAATGCTAGTGATGTAAAAACTGAGCTATAATCAAAATTTCAGATAAACTGATTATTTTTATTTATTATTATTATTTTTGGCAAATTTAAATATATACTTTTAGATGTGGCAATTTTTTTAGTATAAGTGAATACAACTATAAATACAAGTCAAATTTTCTGGAAAAATTAAAACTGACCATTTAAGGCTTGCTGTCATTGATATGATTAGAGATCATTAGATGTTTTTAATAAAAAATAATTTGCTTACTTTGTGTAGGAATGTTGGATTCTTTCCATTTGTCAGTTTCAGAGTTGTAACTATACTGTGGTGTTTTAGTATGGTCGTTTTCAAAGTTCCACCAATCAAAGTTGTATTTTTTCTGTAAAATACGAAAAGGTCGAAATTATTTTTTAAACAGATTGTCATAACACAGCGGTACATCGCCGACTCTTTCAAACAGAGTACTCACAGCTTTCTTACAATTCTGTCAACAAAGTGTTGATTTCTTTATTTTGCAAAAGAAATCCAAACTGGCACGAAACTTTGGAAAAAATAAAAGTATGTTTGTATGACAACGTAGGGAAAGCTATTCAGTTACCAACAGTTATAGTATAAAATACGTTTAACGTTTTTGTCTTACACAAAATAGAAGTAAATTTACTTCTGTTTTGTGTAAGACAAAACATTAAAAATTAAGGACCTGTAATGCTCAGTTGATGAATGGACAGAGAGTACATTTCTGATTCCAGTTTTCCTTTATATCACAGTCCTCTTTCCAATGTGTCCCCTATTTTCTCCCTCCTCCCACTTACTTCCCGATTTTCAATTCCCCTGTCCGTCCCTCATTTGATAAAATAATAAATTTACCAGGTAACTGGGAGTGTCCTCCGTTATACTTTCTTCTGATGGTTTCGTATCTTCTAGTTGTTTCATGAGATCTTTGGTTTCTTCCGTTAGTTTACCTTCTAGTTTTAATTCTTCAGTGAATGCTTCTAACTGTTCCTGGTTCGACTCCTTGTAACACACTGTAATTCGAAGGCAACCCATAAGAAATAGAGTATTTCAACAGTTTTTTTTTAATTTAAAGGTCCGACTCTTTGATATTCTGCGGGATGGGATGGGACAGAATGATTTTTTTCGGATTGTATTTTCTGCTGTTGCTACGCATGCTTATTATTTCCTGTATTTAGTGTTGCAGAATATTCATTTACATCCTGTCTTAGGCAAGGTCATTTATATTCAGGCCAGAATATTCATAACAGATTTCAACTTTATTCTGATAACTGAATTTCCTATATCCTTCCTGTAATCAGACATCACGAATATTGTGGTCATATTTGCTTGTTACTCTAACGAATAAATTTTCCACAACAAATAAGGGTAGTAATTCTTATTAGCAACAGCTCCCACACAGGTTAATATCGGGATAAAACAAGATGAGATAAGGACAACGAAGAGCAAAGTCATTTACAACAATTATTGACATATTTAAAACACAAATAACTTAGCTTATCATATATATTTGCATACTTAAAATTCGCCCATAAAGGCTTCTTATCTACAAAAGTCCATTGCATTATGGATGTTATTAAAATAACATTGCAATGTATAATAATTATTAAGGTTATATACCTCCCAAAAACATTTCTGTAATTAAATTGAAGTTAGCTAATCTAAGAAGGCATCCACCGGTACGATCTGCTAACTCTTCATAAAACTTCTTGGCGTTTCCTTCTGAACTATTGCAAAATACACCATAAACCTAAGGAGATATACATAATAAGTATTAAAGTACTTTTATTATTTTTGCTTTTTCGGTTGCTTTATCATAATTTTACAAAAAAAACAAAAAAAAAAGTTTTCGGGAGATTCTAATTTAATGCTATTTTCTGGTTCTTAAGTCTGTACATTTCAATTGGTATTTGATCAATTTTTATCATCTTTATTTCAGGAAACATCAAAATCGACTTCACATTCACTGAGTTCATCTGGCCGAAGATCACTTAGGGCTTTTGCTATCCCTTTGCGTCCGTCTCCAAAACTTGTGAACCAATTAAAAAAAAAATATGAGTAAAGCAAATTTTTGCCCTGTATCTTGAAAACTAAAATAGATAGACAGAACCTTAAACATATAAAACATGGTCAGCAATGCAAGACATACAAAGTAAAATAACAAAAATACCGAACTCCAAGGAAAAATCTAATCGGAAAGTCCCTTATCAAATGGCAAAATCAAAAGCTCAAACACATCAAACGAATGGAAAACAACTGTCATATTCCTGATATACAGCAATGCAAACATGAGCTAAACAATGTATCTACTGCGTGTTGGAGTTATTGCCAAAAATGCTAATCTAATGAAATGTTTAATAGGCTCCTTATGGGAATTAATGCCTTTCAATATAGTGTTTCTGCTTATTATCTCTAATGATAAGTAGATAGGCAGCAATTGTAAAGAAATAAATCAAGGAGTCTTGAAAGTTTTATAACTGAACTTTTTATCCTGATTTTCAAACAAAATTATCAATTTGACGTATTTTACTCTATTGAGTGATTCACGCTCCTTATGATTTCTAGTTTATATGTCCAGATGCAGTCCTAGTTTGTTCTAGTAACATGCAAATTTGCAAGTCATCATCCAATCACGTTCCTCGCACCTTAAGTATATAGACAAGAGAGTAATATACAATTATCATACCTTTACTCCCATCCCCTTTAAGACATCTAATTCTGTGTGCCAATTGATTTTCTGTTCTGTATAAGATGGTGGGTGTGGCTCACAGTCTCCAATAAGAACCAAAGCCTTGGCAGAATCTTCTGACCAGTCCAGCTGTTGAGCTTTATGTAATGCCCACTCATAACACTGAAATAGAAAATACAATGAATTGGATTTATTGGCTTGACAATTTATTCAATTAAAACTGGTTTTGCGTGTGTTGACAAGTGTGAAACCCCCGTTGTTAAGGTCATCCTAATTTTTCTCATTACTTTTTGACCACAAAATTTTAAATTGAACTTGCAACGAAGACATTATTCAAGGTTTTCTTGAAATTATCAAGAGTTATTACAACCAGCTTAGGTGTGAATTAAAACACAGATATTTTGCAAAGACGAACTGTTAGTTGTGTCACCATACTTGTCCTTGAGAGTTTGTGGATAGCTGCCTCATCAGCAATCGTATCACATCATCGTTATTCTTACATTCGATGACACTTTTAATTTGACTTCTTATTTTTCAAAAGCTCAAAGGGGGATAACTCATTTTAAAACCACATAAGTACCTCTGGTGAATCACCTCCACCAGTTGATGGGGTACTGGAAGCAAAATCTACCAGCTGTTGAACGTCTGATGTCAGGTCCTGAATCTTAATGACGTAGTTATTATAATCACAATAATCACCGTGAGCCATAATTCCAATTTTTATATTTGGTATGTCTCTTACAAGTCGTTGACAAGTTTCTTTTAATTTTGTCCTCACCTACAACCCGAATATTTCTTATGAATTACAAGAAAAAAGAAATAAGCACAAAATAACGAATTTATTTTAAGAGTTTCTTACTGATTTTATTTGGAGACATATACAATTATTTTTTAAATGAAATGCTAAATTCTGTACATTAATTTTGATACATCTGAAATTTGGATTGAAATATCTGGTGCTGAATATTTGACATTTTAACGCAACAATAAATAGAAATATATTTCGACAGTAGAAATATCATATAATATACCAACGTTAGCATAAGTTAGAAGAAAATTTAGATAGCTATTTTTTATTCGTTAAATCCCCCACCCCACCCCATAAAAAAACCCAGCTTATCAGTTGAATTAAAGCAGCCTTACTTACACTCCCAAGATACTGACTCATACTGCCAGTTGTGTCAAAGGAGAACACTACTTCAACATTCTTTCCATTCGTCTCGAAACTTGAGAGGACGGCATCTTTTAAATCACCATCAATAGCTTTGTGATCTGTATCTTGAGCTGGTTCTAAAATAATAATTCAAACAATAGAAAAAAAAGGAAAACGGGAACTTTGCTTCAAAGGTTCATAGTTAACTTGTAATACTGTTTCAACTGTGGCTTAAGAAGAACATACACCAACCAACAGCACTTATATGTCTTTGTTTTCCTTATTAAAATTAGTGATAATCCTGCTGTTCGTCCTCTTGGTAAATGCACTAGACAGTTATTCATATGAATTTTACTTTTGCCACATATGTCTAGATCTGCAAAAGAGGGGATGGGGAGTAACTGGAATAACCCCAACACAGTGTGTGGTTGTTCTAAGTTTGGTTTTCTGAAGTCGATTGTTCAATCTCCTTTTTTTACTTTTTACAGAATTTGATAATCAATTTTCTGCACAATTAATGGATCCAGCTCAAAACACCTCGAGTCTGGAAAAACATGTAAATAAAATATTAAGTTTATAACAGTCAACCATTTCCGAGATTGTTGACAGGCAACCGAAAATTTGTCCCCCCCCCTTTAATATCGACAAGGGCATAGCACAAGGAAAATTGAAGAAGCAAAATACAAATCTGTCCTGAAAAAGCACTTCACTTTATAATACCTGTATAATACACAAAACCCCGATAGGTACAAGAAAAACAATAATTTAAAATAACGTGTCAAATAGTGCTCGCAGTTACTGAAAGCAAGCTCATAGTACTTCTAAAACGTCATGTCGATGAGAAGTTACACCGTCCAACACTTTAATATCAACGACTGTACTAAAAACAAATCCCCCCCCAAAAAAAATCACACACATATCTTATTCTTGTTTCAAATCACAAGTCTATTAACCCTTCCACAACTCTCGCTTATGACCTCTCTGGATTCGCCAGCCACAGTGGTGGGGTAAACTAAACAAAGTGTTACAAGAAATAATTCCTACCTGCTTCTGTTCTGTCGTCTGTTTTGTCGCAGATAGTTACTTCTATAACACTTTCCTCTTTAATACTTGTTTCATATAGTGGTGTGTTACATGGACGATAAAATGTTCCGGAGCTTTTGAATGACTGAAGAGAATATTTAAATTTATTTGAAACTTTAGTAGATTTTAATATACGCAACTTAATTAATTGCATTATTTGAATATGTATATATATGTTGTGTACAAGTTATCATTTTGTACAAATTATAATTTGTACAAAAAAATTGTACAAATAATAATTTGTATTTTGACTTTATACAAATTGTAATTTGTACAAAAAGTGCCTGTACAAATTACAATTTGTACAAAATTCGACTAAAATTCACTTATAACTTGTACAATTATTTATAGTATGGATTTTGTTATAAAAAAGCATTGATACACACTATAGAACATAATAAACCTTATTTACAAAATACAAAAATACCCAGAGACAGCAAATGTAATAGATACATGCATGCCAGTTAATTCTGATAGAACAATAAAAATTGGCCTCAGTGGCAATTCTGATAGTATAGTAGAAATTGACCTCAGTGACAATTCTGATAGAATAATAAAAATTGGCCTCAGTGACAATTATGATAGTATCATAAAGATTGGCCCCAGTGACAATTCTGATAGTACAATAGAAACTGGCCCCAGTGACAATTCTGATAGTATCATAGAAATTGGCCCCCGTGACAATTAGGATGACACTGACGTTGAAAAACCAATCATACGTGCCAGGAACCGTGCGCTGTCTGGCCAACAGATCCAAACCGAATATCTTACCATGAAAACGAAACAGAAATTATCAGAACTTACTGTGGGGTATAATATCATTATACAAATTCTTCAGTATGATCGTATCCCAACTGATCCTCAAAATATCTTATGTGTAATCATTGAATCTGGAGAATTTGGGTACCGCACTGGAACTGCTGTAGGAATTTGAACAGGATATTTGTCGAAAAAATCAAATTGAAGCTGTTAAAGACACATCTGTATTCGCAGCAACGGTTTCTGGGCTTCGACCTTCGCTACGTGAAGCAGATAAAAAGCTTTCAAAAACAGGTGGTTAGGGTTTCCTTTCATGTAAATGCAAAGGGGGAGCAAATGTAAATGTAAAAAGCAAATGATGTTGTGCAATTCCTGATGCCATAATTCACTCACATGCTCAAACAAATGATACAGAACTATTTTTTTTGTATTTTGTAAATAAGGTGTATTGTGTGGTCATGGAATACAACTTCTTTGGTGTGTATCAATGCGTTTTTTTATAACAAGATCCATACTATAAATCATTGTACAAGTTATAAGTGAATTTAAGTCAAATTTTGTACAAGCACTTTTTGTACAAATTACGATTTGTACAAAGTCAAAATACAAATTGTAATTTGTACAATTTTTTTGTACAAATTATAATTTGTACAAAATGATAACTTGTACACAACATATATATTACAGGTTTAATCCACCATTTTCTACATAAGGAAATGTCTGTACCCAGTCAGGAATATGACAGCTGTTTTCCATTCGTTTGAAGTGTTTGAGCTTTTCATTTTGCATTTTGATCATGGACTTTCCCGTTTTGAATTTTCCTTGGAAGGCGGTATTTTTGTTATTTTACTTTTAAGGGTATATTGTTTAAAAAAAATTATCAATTAGTAATCTTTCTATCAACGTATAAAGTCAATTAAATAAAATTATATCAATGAAATAAGTCGATTAATTTGATTATGATTATATCAATAGGACTGTGTTCATTTCAAAGTAAAAGTTAAAACTAAAATATTTGTAGACATTCTAAATTTTCTAATTTTCCTCTTAAACTTTGCCTTTCATTCTCTAAATGAAAATTAATTAATGTAACACTTACTTTCACTTTTTTTGGAGAAACTAAGTCTAGGCGTTCAACAGAAGATTTCAAATCCTCTAATGTACTAATGTTCTGTATATCCACAGGAGCTGAACCTCCTCCAACTACTTTAGCATAAACTTTGATATCTCTAGGAATTACGAACTGTGAATGAAATAAAACTCGTACTTTTGAAGAAAACTAAAGGTATATGCTTAATGCTATAATTATAGTCGATGAACGAGTTGTGGACAATTTCCCTGCATTTGTTTCACTCGCAGGGTCAAATATAAACCCCTAAAATTTGCAAAGCATGGGTTGTCCTCAGCTTAATAAAGAATATTTCGATAATTTTATCTCAAAAAATAAATTTCCGGAAATTTAAGTTTGCGCCCCCCTAACTTAAAATCCTGGATCCGCCCTAGATACTGTTGCTGTTGAAGGATTTTTGATACATAATTTGTATTCGAAAGACAATAATTATACAGCTTTACTTTAATCAGAATATTGGTTTGGGTTAAGGATCGATGTCCTTCTTATATTTTATTTTTTAAGAATAATCAAAATTTTCTAAAATTTGTCAAATTTGCTGTGCTGTGCTGAGCTATTAAATAAGTGAAAATAATTTAAAATATTAATGAAATTTTAGTTAAAAAACACCACAAATATATATATATATACAAATAGAATAAGGGGGGTCCATTCCACAAGCGCCCGTGAACAACAAATATTAAACAAAACAAAAAAGACAAATATTTACCTCTGCTTTTAATATAGTTTCTGGACGAATTCCTAGAAATCCGATTGTTTTAGATTTATCAAGGAATTTTCCTTGGTACTTCACTCTTACTCTCCCGGGGATAATTTCTTCTTCGTTTGCAATCTGTTCATTAATTCTTTTTACTTGTTCAGTGGGTAATAATTTCAAAACTGAAGTACGACCTGTCGGTAATTTCACATAAACATCAACTAACGGAGTTGCCATTTTTTCAATAATATTGTTTAACCGTGTTATATTTACATGTTTATATAGCGACTGAAAGATTTATTCTATATTTATTGTCCAATGAAATATCTCACATTAAAATCTTAAAATATCCTGTTCTATTATTAGACTATACGATGTATCATACAGGGTACAAAAATCGATCGGTTTGCATAATATCGTTATTACAGAACACGTTGAATAAATTCAAAAATGGAAGAGTACATATCAGTAATTGAAAATATCTGAAGCACAGACAATTATTTAATAGTTTCGATTCCCAAATCCGGAGCGATTTTCATGCGAGGGCGGCCAAATCAGAAAATCGATCCGGAGAGCATCTGAGGGCGCCCAAGTCAGAAAACGCTCCGCACTTAGATTACCATAAGGAATAAGGGGGTCTCAAACCGATACTGTTATGAATTTAAAACATCGACCGAAGTGTCTTCAGAAAAAAAAAAACTACGTAGTATATAGAACACATACTGTAACACATACACACACACATGCATAGACAAAATAAAAAAAAAACATTTCGAGATACCACTACGTCCGCCTCGCACTGTAATGCTTGTAATATTGGTCGCTAACCAACCATCGACCCTACAATCAATTAAACAATCTAAATTGTCGTTTATTCCGATGGGATTAACTTTAACCACACCAACCCATTTCTGGTAACAACTTCGTATATTCCAAATAGACATAATGACAGTAACCATGACAATGGACGACCACTCGTCAATAGAGAGATGCCGTCGGGAAAGACGGGAGTTTAAGGGTGATATATTTGTTACCGCCCCAAATTTATAATCCCTATCGGTTCATATGAAATAAAGCTTCGATTTTCTTCTGAAATATCATTTTTCTATATACAAGAAAGCCATACAATATACAAGTATGATAACATTCTGAAAACTTGAGACTTTTTGATTGCCAAATTATAGACTTTGAAAGCGGAGCAGACGAATTTTAGACAACTTTCTATTCAGATGTGGACCTAAGATTTTGAAAAGGAGCGGGGGCACGGTCACGTACATGGCAACATTAAAAGTGGGACTTGTACAGTAAAAAGTCTATGATTAACAATATATACAGCTCCATAAGGGGGGACCGGTTTATCTGACATCCTCCTAAATTCGTCTTTTCTAATTCTCCCGTTACCATAGAACATTATAGTAAAGATAAGGAATTTTTTTTTTATTTTATACAATTTACAATTAAAAGGGACCCGATAAAACTAAAATGTTCACACTTTTTTCAATCGCTTCAAATTTTCACTGCATTACTTTCAAATGTTAGTTTGTTCTTTTTTATCAAACCTTTGAATATGAGACTGAAAGCTGTTAAAAAGAACATAATGATGAATTCTTATCAACATGTTTATTTTTAGTATGTCCCGTCAGAGTATCCTATTAAGGCTTTTTGAGCCTATTCTCTCTGTACTGATGAACTCTAATGATGTTCTTACATTCTAATATAAGTAAACGTTTGCCTCTCATGCATCAAAACTGTTTGTGGGAATGCTGTGGGTTTACAAATTACAAACACACTAAATTTAGTTATTGATTCACATTATATTTGTCAATTGGTGCTTGTGGGGGTTGGTTTTTTTTTCGTCGATATTTTCCCTTTTTTTCAGGTGACATCGCCCATGTACTCTGTTGTCTTAATCTGCAGTCCCAAACGTATCTGATTAAAGATCCTAGCCTCGGCCCTGGAAATAGTATAGAGAATTGGAGAAAATATAATTGAGAGCTTTGACGTATTAAAGGACACAAACCCCAAAAGGATGCTTGAAACGGGAGTCCAGATATTCCGATGTCCCATTAATTAGTCCGATCTTGCTCTGCATCCGATGGTCCTTTGGGACTTCCAGGGACCGTGGTCCATATCCACATTAAGGCTGTCAGACGTCAGAGCAATCAAAGACTACTATTAGTCCGATATGTCAATTATTCGACGCCTTATTAGTGCGACACCCTACTAGTGGACCCAATCTAATTAAAATATAGATCTCTGATATCGTTATGTTCATGCTTCGATGATTAAGCGAGTTACGCTAATTCTAAATTTTAATCATATTGTATTGATCCGACATTCATTTCTTCGACGTTCAGTAGTGCGACGCTCTCGTATTTTAACAATGGATAGTATGCTGTCATCCTGGGTATACATGAAATGTTTGTCACTGGCTGTAAGTTAACAAATCAACCACCAATCAAACATGATACATATGATTAATTGATTGATTGATGGTTGCTTAACGTCCAGTGACAAATATTTCATGTATGTTCAGGACAAGAACAAATTAACAATTCAAAAGAGAACACTAACGGCCTAATTTATAACATTACAATTTTATGAAAACAAACATGACTCACATAAATCAAATCAAACAGTATCAAATTTGGGGAAGGCGATTTTCAGGCCAGAAAATGAGATCTGAAGATAAAATAGCGGCATTCAACTTAAGAAAAGGCAAATTTCTTCTGAGTTTTTTTCACACTATGGTCATTTTAAATAAGCACTAGAATGTACAGTATTACAGTTCCGAGTATAACAATTTCGTGTGTATACTTTGAGGTTGTATTAAACAAAACTGTCGTATTTTTGAACATGCAGACAAGTTTAAAATGTTTGAAAATGACTCAAACGGCAATTGTGGTTGATTTTCTCAGATTTATAGTATTCGTAAAATAAACGAAAAGGAAGACCATTCTTACGGAAGCCATAAAGGGACACATAAAACAAATTTAATCCGTGATCTCGGTTTACCAATCCGTGATCTCGGATTCCCAATCCGCGATCTCGCATTCTCAACCGTGCTCTTGGATTCAATCCGTGATCTCGCATTCCCAATCCGTGATCGCGGTTTAATAATCCGCAATCTCGGATTCCCAATCCGATATCTCGGTTTAATAATTCGTGATCTCAAATTATCCGTTATCTCGGTGTCCCAATCAGGTCACTCTGACCTTGACTTTGACTCCTATGATAGTAAAATCTTGTCTGATATCTGTTGTGCATTACTTTTGTACCGTAGAACTAAGATTGTCACATCATTTGTATGATGATGCATCATGGAAAAGGGATGTGTCAAATATTAGCCATGTAGAAGAATCATGCGATCGGGATGTGTCAAATACCAAAAATCAGGTCACTCTGACCTTGACGCTTGCCCCTAGGATTGTTATTTGTGTTCGGGCTTAACTGTTATCTGGTTAATCAAACTATGTCAAACTAAGAAAATGTGCAGATACATTATAGGAAGTTGATTTGTCAGTAAGATTACGTCATTGTGGCTTTGACCTTTGACCCCAAAAAAGTTATTTGACCTTGAAAATTGGTATGGCTGAAAGCCAAAAATCTCAAAATGTCATTGTCCCAATACTAAATTTCACAGCAGCAACTAAATTGTATTACGGATGGTATTAGTCCCTATATGCGGACAGCTTTAGTTTTATTTGTCAAAGTATAATAGCAGATTGTTAAGATGTTCGCTCCTCTTCCTCTGTTTCAAAATAACAAGCTTTTTTATTGCGAAAGCAATGATACTTTTCCACAGATTCACTTGTAGTACGATGGCCGAAGTGAGCCGACAAAAACATTATTTAAAACTTTTATAGTACTGTACAGAAAGTTTGTACATAGTACTATCTTGTTGTTTTAATTCCGGATAAAAAGATAGTACTATGTACATAAAGTTTGTACATAGTACTATCTTGTTGTTTTACTTCCGGGTAAAAAGATAGTACTCTGTACAGAAAGTTTGTACATAGTACTATCTTGTTGTTTTACTTCCGGGTAAAAAGATAGTACTCTGTACATAAAGTTTGTACATAGTACTATCTTGTTGTTTTACTTCCGGGTAAAAAGATAGTACTCTGTACAGACAAGTTTGTACAGTGTACTATCTTTTTATGGGATCAGGAAGTATTATAAACAAGAGTTCCCTCAACCAACATACATAGCTAAACTCAAGACTTTACACCGTTTTTCTTTATTTCTGATTGCCTAAGGTATGATTTCTTTTCAAATAACGGTGTATCGGGATTATTTAGATTGTCTCACTCAATAAGTGGCCTACCTTGGGTCCCTTTTCAAAAGTCTCCCAACTAATGCCGGACTAAAATTAGTAGCCAGAGGATATAATAAACGCATTACTAGAGATCAGATTTCAGATACTTGCAACAAAGTAAAACGTTCCAATACATTAACTAGAAAGACCACTAATAAATATATACCTTTGACTCTTATAATTAAATATAACCCGGCAGTTAAAGGGCTGGGTAGAGCATTAAGAAAGTCCTGGAATAATTTACAGGCAGATGAGGTATGCAGACAAATATTTAAACAAGTGCCTATCATTGCGTATAAACGCAGCAGAAATCTTAAAGAATATTTTGCCGAAACCCGGCAAGTGGGAGACTTTTGAAAAGGGACCCAAGGTAGGCCACTTATAGAGTGTCAGAGCCAACCTAAAAATCCCGAAACACCGTTATTTGAAAAGAATTCATACCTTAGGCAATCAGAAATAAAGAAAAACAGTGTAAAGTCTTAAGTTTAGCTATGTATGTTGGTTGAGGGAACTCTTGTTTATAATAAAACGTGTCATTTCAATTCCTGTTTTGTGTCTGTAACTTGACCGATCGCGTACGCTGGTGACCTTATTTTATTGTGGTGTTTACAAAATGTATAACGCTTTTTATCAGAGGTTTTTCTGTTTTATGCAACTTATCCAGAAACTTTTGTCTCATTACACATATCATTTCTTTTTTTAATAATAAATCAAATGGTTTGTGTTTTATTCATAAAAACAATGATAACTAGGAACACAAACTTTCTGTACAGTTTAAAACATTTTTAAAAGGAAGTAAAACTAATGTAATAAGTTATGTACTTCCTGATCCCATAAAAAGATAGCACACTGTACAAACTTGTCTGTACAGTTTATTATCTTTTTACCCGGAAATAAAACAACAAGATAGTACTATGTACAAACTTGTCTGTACAGAGTACTATCTTTTTACCCGGAAGTAAAACAACAAGATAGTACTATGTACAAACTTAATATACAGAGTACTATCTTTTTACCCGGAAATAAAACAACAAGATAGTACTATGTACAAACTTGTCTGTACAGAGTACTATCTTTTTACCCGGAAGTAAAACAACAAGATAGTACTATGTACAAACTTAATATACAGAGTACTATCTTTTTACCCGGAAATAAAACAACAAGATAGTACTATGTACAAACTTGTCTGTACAGAGTACTATCTTTTTACCCGGAAGTAAAACAACAAGATAGTACTATGTACAAACTTAATGTACAGATCGGTACTATCTTTTTACCCGAAAGTAAAACAACAAGATAGTACTATGTACAAACTTTCTGTACAGAGTACTATCTATTTATCCGGAAGTAAAACAACAAGATAGTACTATGTACAAACTTTCTGTACAGTACTATACAAGTTTTAAATAGTATTTTTGTCGGCTCACTTCGGCCATCGTACACTTGAAAGTTTCCTGTCGATTTAAACTTTTGCAGAACAGACAAAAGTTTGAATACCTTGACCAAGAGAAGATGACTCTGTGGAAATGTTTCATTTGGTTCACAATAAAAGACTGGTATGAAATGATAGTATATAAATAACGGAACTAAAAAGGCAGAATAATAGGTGCTGTCCTTGTTTTCGAGATATAAGCTATTGAAAAGATGGCGGGAAATAATTCTCCCTAATTTTTCATACATTTAACATTTTTCCTTTTTTTGATAAAGGTTTTAAAAAATAACAAGGATATTGTAAGATTTAAAAATTGTCTTTTAAAACTATATGTAATAAATTATGAAAAGAAAAGAAGATGGTTATTGGGCAAATTATAACAAGGATAAAACCAGAGGATTCCGAATATCTGACAAAATCCACGAACATCTTTAATCACACATTAATAAGAAAAGTGTTGTTTTTTTTATTTTACATTATCAGTTTGCAACTATCGACAAACATGACACATAACATGGGAACATGACATACACACGTAATGAAAACTGAGATAACGGATTGGGAACCTGAAATCACAAATTGAGAATCCGAGATCACGGATAAGAAACCGAGATCACGGATTATTAATCCGATATCCAATATCACGGATTGGGAAACTGCCATCACGGATTGGATACAGAAATCATTGATTGATTTCATTTTTTATGTGTTCCTTTATGGCTTCCGTACATTCTTAATCGAAACCAACATTTTATCTGAAGTAAAACTATTCATTGTACTATAGATACATATTGTTTCATTTTGATTATGGAAGTCCTTCTGTGAAATATTATAAAAATGTGAAATGTTGCAGCATGAACAGCACTGTATAACATTCTGATCAGTGTATGGATACATGTAAAAGTTGTTTTGACATAAATTCCACCATATTTCACGAATTTGCGGATTTCGACCTAGTGAGTGAAACAAATTCAGAAGGAAATAAATCATTTAACCTCCTATTCCGGGTCGATCTTGTTTTTTTAATTGCACGATAAGAATTTTCTAAATATAAGTATAATAACGAGATATACCCAAAGGGACTTACGTTAAATAAATCAAATATAAACGGTAATAACTGTCCTTTCCTAGATTTAAATATTTCAGTTTTACACGGGAAACTCTACACAAAAATTTATGACAAAAGTGACGATTTTCCGTTCCCTATTTTTTTTTTTTTATGTTCCTTTGACTCCATCTTACGGTGTTTATATATCACAACTCTTTCGCTCGTGTTTGTAGTGACTTTTTGGGTTTCAATGAACGTAATCTATGTATTACTGGTAAATTATTAAGTGGGGATTTCGTTACCACAAATTACTTAAAACCTTTACCAAATTCTTCCATAGATACAAAGATTTGGTTTGGAAGTTTGGCTGTGCCTGTAGAAAACTTATTTCAAACGGGATAGCACATCCTAATTTTAACAGAGATGTTGTTAACCGAGCCCGGAAATTTAGATACGATCCGGGTAAACTTATCGATCTTTTAAATAAACTCGTTCTAAAAGGTTACCAATTCAACGCTGTAATTAGATCTTTGAATATTGTTTTTATTGGTATAAATATTAATTTTGTTATCAGCAATTTAAAGTCAAACTAAATATTATTTCAATATACATGTGCACATTCATGGTTCTACAATCTGTCGATACCTGTATCTTGACATTGCACAAGGTTAATGTTTTTCTCTGACTGGTAATGACGTCTTTACATTAAATCCATTGGATGTTGGATGAGTACTGATTGACATTTAAGTCTTAGGTGCATGATTTTTCTATTAGTTTTTATTGGCTTTGAACTAGCTGTCAGTAACTGCGAGTACTCTCAGATCTGTACTTTGTGGCTCTTTTGTTGTGGGGATGTATAAATACCCTGCAACGTCCAGTCTGTGTTTTTGTTTGATGTTTTTCTGCTTTGTATCGATCTGATGAGTTCAGCCCTTTTCCATGAATTTTTACAGTTTGTTCTTATGTTGTACTGTTACACCGCTGTCCCAGGCGCCAGCAAACTAGTTTAACCCCGCCACATTCTATATGTGCCTGTACCAAGTCATGAACCTGTAATTCGGTGGTTGTTGTTTGTTGCTGTATATCATATTTGTTTTTCGTTTATTGTTTTGTACATAAATCAGGCCAGGCCGTTAGTTTTCTCGTTTGAATTGTTTTACATTTGTCATTTGGGGGCATTTTATAGCTGACAATGTAGTATTGGTTTTGTTCATTGTTAAAGTTCGCACGGTGACCTATAGTTGTTTACTTTTATGTCATTTGGTCTCTGGTGGAGAGTTGTCTCATTGGCAATTATACCACATCTTCATATCTTTATATTCATAGTATCATGACTTATACTCATAGATTAAATAATCAAAAAGAGATTAAAAGTAAAAATTAATGAGACAGCATCTCAACAAAAGAACAAGAAAACGGACATTAGGATATGCAGGAACAAAACTAGAAAATTTGAAAGCGGGAAGTTATAGAAGTTTCCACTGGGGAAAAGGGGGTCCAGCAAAATTTTCGTAGACTTGTGTATTTAGAAAAAACGAAGAAAAGATGGGTTCCAATCCCAGACCATCCCTTTCTGTATCCGCCAATACGTGTTCTGGTAATTTGGATAATAACAAACGTACAAGTAATTTAAGATATAAAATGTAATCTGTAGTGCATCTAAATTGTAGCTGGTCGGTATAAATTCGGTTTCCAAATATTAATTGGCCTGCGAGATTTTATTTGTATTGGGACGATGCAAAGAGCAATCGGGAGGTTTGAATTTTAAATACCCGAGGGTAAAGGTAAAATGTATTTGTTATTTGTTTTATACATTTATTCTTATCCAAAGTATTTCCTTCCTTCTTTCGATTAAAAAAGGTGGATCTTACAAACATGACAGTGGCTATTTTGCCGGCTCCGGCAAAATAGTGAATTTTATAGAGTTTTGCTATTTTGCCGGTCTTATTTCAGATTTTTTTCTGACGAAATTACCGTCAACTAAATGAAATGCATTTTTCATTGACGTTCGAAAATGGAAGACTACTCTTCGTTGTCAAAAAGCTTGACATAAACGCTATGTTCGACTCATATATATGAAGAGATAAAGCAGGTTTTGGAGCTCTTTGGCAAGGACAACTATGTGCAACTGTGGAAACGTGATTCAAGGACTATAAAATTTATGAAAACTATAGCACCAAACAAAACCTTTGATAACGATCTAGTCTATTGTGCAATAAAGTACTGCTGTGTTCATAGCACAAAGACCACAAATCCTAATCCACTGGTTAGTCAAGTTGTTTCATCATTACATACACCAGATTTTCGTTTTTATCTTGCAGCTAAATAATTTTACGAATGGCGGTACGCATTCGAAATGTCAAGCAGCACAGAAACTAACATTATCAAAACTTGCGATTGTCCGTCATTCAATATCTTTCACTCGATTTAAACCAAACTTGGTATACACTTCGCACCAACAAGTGCGTTCTGATGTAATTCATAATATTACAAACCTAAAATTACAAATAAAACTTAATTGTGCTATTCTCGTATATAAACAAATCATAAACAAACTATTATAAAAGCCCTATTCAGCAAGTGTTATGTGAAGTTCATGTTTGCAGTGGCAGCATTTTTCTTGTGCAAGACTAAAAAATGCACCAAAAAGCAAGGCACAGCATGGTTTTGTAACACTTGTAAAGCATTTTGAAGTTGTTGAGTTTTACTTTTAACTTCAAAACTTATGGAATATTAGTTTTATTATAATTTTTAATTAGAATAACAATTTGTATATGCATGCTTTGCTTAAATATTATATTTTTACAAAAGATTTTTTTTGTATGTAAAGTAACTTTTAATTTCAAAACTTATGGGATATTTTTTATTAGAATATCAATTTTAGTATGCATGTTTTGTGCTTAGGTATACTTTTTTTTAAAGAAGACATATTTTTTAGAGATTTCTTATTAACATGTTAAAATGTATGTCTACATTTCTTTGTATTCGTAATTAATATACTGAAAAATCTAAATTAAGACCGGCAAAATAGCAAAACTCTTTATAAATTGCTATTTTACCGGCTCCGGCCAAAAAGCGCTAAGGAGGCTATTTTGCCGGAGCTGGTAAATAGCACATAAGAGGCTATTTTACCGGAGCCGGCAAAATAGCCACTGCCTACAAATATGGATACCCATAGCGTAATAAAGTATCCTGGTAGTTCAAGAATTTATTTGTCGTATCTCAACAATAATTGTACAGAAAATTTGTTAGCAAGGTATTTTTTCTGACGGCAATAGCAAATGCTTCTGACACAACTTCATAAGTCCATGAGAAAAATTGCAGATGTCAACTTAATAAATGACTAAGTTATATTTCTTTCTTTATTTATTTATTAAGAACAAAATTAGAAGAAACAAAATATTAAATGAAAACATCTCTCTCTCTCTCTCTCATTGCACCCTCTTCCATGAAAATACATTCTAATTCTATGTTCCAATCCCAGACCAACCCTTTCTGTATCCGCCAATGCACATTCTGATCACCATACGGCTCTCTCTCTCTCTCTCTCTCTCTCTTTGCACCCTCTTCCATGAAAATGTATGCTTTGTTGTATTATGTGACAAATCGATATTGACGTATGCATGATAGTCTTTTTCCTGTTAGCTGATAGCACATATCTTGAGGGCTTCAAAGGACCATGCTTGTTTATGCTTGTTTATGCTTGTTTATGCTTGTTTATGCTTGTTATTAAGGACATTGACCCCGCCATGCCTTACACGTGCTTGTTATGAAGGACAATGACCCCGCCATGCATTATACATGCTTGTTATGAAGGACACTGACCCCGCCATGCATTACACATGCTTGTTATGAAGACTGTCCTCAAACTAGAATATCCTCTTTACTTATAACAGTTTTAGTGCATTTATGACATACTGCATTGTTCACATAACATTACATCCACGTCGTTTGGGATGTCGATCACCCCTAAATAAGCTGCATGTAATTATTGTCGAATTTATGTCGATTGATGTCGAAGACGAAGAAGGAACTGAAAAAAAGGATATTGAATACATTAGTGAAGTTTGATAAACTGATCCCTCTGTGTGGATTTATAAATCTTGTGATGTAAACACTGACCTATAATCAAAATTTCAGGTATTTTTTGGCGAATTTAAATATATACTATTAGATGTGATAAATTTTTAGTATAATTAAATACAAATATTAAGACAAGGCAAATTTTATGCAAAAGCTGAAACTGACCAAGTAAGGCTTGCCATCATTGATATGATTTGATGTTTATATTGAAAATAATTTGCTTACTTTGTGTTGGATTGTTGTATTGTTTCCATTTGTCAGTTTCAGAGCTGTAACTATACTGTGGTGTTTTAGTATGGTCATGTTTAAAGTTCCACCAATCAAATTTGTATTTTTTCTGAAAAGTACAAAAAAAGGTAAAAATTATTTTTCAAACAGATTGTCATTACGCTACTTCGCCTACTCTTTCAAAGAGATTGCCAAAACGCAGCGGTACTACGCCGACTCTTTCGAACAGATTTTCATTACGCAGCAGTACTTCGCCGACTCTTTCAAATACTCCTGTCAACAAAGTTTGATTTATTTATTAAAAAAAAAACCCAGCTGACACGAAACTTTGTAAGGAAAGCTAGTCAGTTACCAAGAGTTACAAAATTTGCTTCTAGTTTGTATAAAACAAAAACATTAAACATGCAGGACCTGTAATGCTCAGTGGATGAATGGACAGAGGGTACATTTCTGATTTCCTTTATTTCACAGTCCCCTCCTCTCCCCCTCCCACTTTCTTATCCGCCTTCTCCCCCCCCCCCCCCCCCCCCGTTTCTCCCGATCTTCAGTTACAGCATCCGTCCCTCATTTAAAAAATAATTTTACCAGGTAACTGGGAGTGTCCTTCGTTTTTCTTTCTTTTGATGGTTTCGTATTTTCCAGTTGTTTCATGAGATCTTTGGTTTCTTCCGTTAGTTTACCTTCTAGTTTTAATTCTTCAGTGAATGCTTCTAACTGTTCCTGGTTCGACTCCTTGTAACACACTGTAAAGGAAAGATCACCCATAAAAAAATCAGTATTTCGACGTTTTTTATTCTAAGGGAACTACCATTGATATTCGGGGGGAGGGGGAGGGGGGGGTAGCAGGATTATTTTTCGGATTGTCTTTTTATTTTCATCTGTTGCTTCGCATGATAATTCAGTATTTTCTGCATTTTGTGTTGCAGAGATATTTCTTTTCATCCTGTCTTATGCAAGGTATTCATTTTCAGCTCTTACATGGCCAGAATATTCATATTCAAAATCCTCCCAAGAAAATCAAATGGTCGTTCCAAACGGTTGGTTGACCGTATACTTTTTGTTCCCTTTTTCTTCAAGACTTAACCTAACAGTCTTGACACTTTTATTTAATTAACTTCGTTGCGTGAACTTGAAAATTCATTTGCCTGGATAGGATTCCAACTTTATTGTTATAGTAAACGAATATTGTTGTTATATTTGCGTTACTTTCGAATAAATTTTCTACAACAAATAAGGGTTGCAATTCTTATTAGCAACAGCTCCCAGACAGGCTGATATCGGGATACAACCAAATAAGACAAGGAGAATGACGAGCAAAGTAATTTACTACAATTAACAACACAAATAACTCACCACATCTTACCATATATAGTTGATTTAGGTTCTTGTTTTTACTACGAATTTGTACAAATCTAGTATATTTTAAGCATAACTTTGAAATTAATACAGAGCTTACAGAGATTTTTTTTATTTTAGCGACGACAATGGAGATTTCTACTTTATTCAAAACTTTTACAAGTTATTATATAAATACTTATTTCAACTACAAAAGTCAAAAATTAAAAGTCTGAGATAAGTGAACTTCAAATAGGTAATTAAAAAAGAATTCGCTATATAAAAAGAAACTGAAAATAAAAAGTTATTTTCGGAGTTTTGGGGTAAAAAGATTCACAGGACACAAATTTGGCAACATTTTAAATTGTTTTTGTATAAAAATTTGTTTGAGATGTCAGTAATTAAAATCAAAAAATTTTCATTTTCACAGTTATGGTGTTTAGGACTTCAGAAACGTTGTATCAAAATTTTGGCTCATTTCAATCACTTTTGAAATAGTTATATGCAAGAGAAATTTTGACCCCAAAGAAATTAATGGTGGTGGTGCGTTTCTTTTGTTGTTGAGTATACAATGATTTACATATTTAAAAACACAAATAATTTTAATAGTCATATACTTGTTTTATATATATAAACAAGTAATCTCACTGTATATAAATTTCAAATGTACAGTTATATATAAGTCACAGTCAGACCAGAGCCACGTTCAATATAATAGTGATATATCCATAATCCCCTACCCTAGTATGCATGTGCATGTTAATATTCGTCCATAAAGGCTTTATATCTACACAATTCAATTGCATTATATATGGATGTGAATAAAATAATATTGCAATGTATAATAATTTGTACGGTTATATACCTCCCAAAAACATTTCTGTAATTAAACTAAAGTTAGCTAATCTAAGAAGACATCCACCGGTACGGTCTGCTAACTCTTCATAAAACTTCTTGGCGTTTCCTTCTGCACTATTGCAAAATACACCATAAACCTAAGGAGATATGCATAATAAGTATTAAAGTAGTTTTATTATTTCAGCTTTTTCAGTCGCTTAAACATACTTTTACTAAAAATTGAAGACGAGTTTTCGGGAAAAATCTACTTCAATGCTATTTTTCTGGTTCTTCAATCTGTACATTTTAATTGCTATTTGATCCTTTTCTTTCAGTCATCTTTATCTCAAGAAATAAGAAAATTGATTTCACATTTTAGCTCATTGGGCAGAATGCCATTTTGAGCTTTTGCTATTACTTCATGTCCGTCTCAGAAACTTATGAACCAATCAAACAAAACTTCACATCCTTAGGGTATCAGGATTCAATTTCGTAAATTTTATACCGGTACATAAGATGCCGCCTTTATTAAAAATAAAACATTGGGGGAAAGTGCATGTAATTTTCTTATATCTTAAAAACACGTGTATATGATCAGACGACTCCTTAAAAAAGTTTTTTCCTGAAAGTTCAATTTTTATAGAAGTATTTTCCCTACTTGTCGCTGGCATCGCCAACCTCTGCAACCGGTCGTGTTGCATCTCGTTATCATCGTCATTCCAGTAGCCAGTCACCCGGTTACTTCGAAGACAAGAGTATAGTATATAATTAGCATACCTTAACTCCCATCCCTTTTAAGACGTCTAATTCTGTGTGCCAGTTGATTTTCTGGTCTGTATAAGATGGTGGATGTGGCTCATGGTCTCCAATAACAACCAAAGCCTTCGCAGAATCTTCTGTCCAGTCCAGTTGTTGAGCTTTATGTAATGCCCACTCATAACACTGAAAAAGAAATACAATGAACTTGATATATTGGCTTAACAATTCATCCATCTTAACTGCTTGTTATAAATTATAAATTGGTGTGTTTTATGGTTTTGTTTTGTTTTGTTTTTTGTTTTGTTTCTTGAGGGGTGTAATGACAGTTGGTAAGGTTATCCTAATTTTTTGTTTTATTATGACTTTTTGACCAGAAAATTTTTAATTGAACTTGTGATCGAGACAATATGCAAGTTTTTTTTTTAAATAATCAAGAGTTGCAACCAACTCGCATGTGTGAATTAAAAAAAAAACAGATATTTTGCAAAGACAATGTAAGTCAAAATGTAAGTTGTCTTCACATACTTGTCCTTATTCTTTGTTGGATAGCTGTCTCATCATCAATCGTACCACCTCACCTTATTAAAATTGTGTAAAATAATCTCGATGTCACTGTTAATTTGACTTTAACGCTCAAAGCGAAATAACTCATTTTTAAAACCACATATGTACCTCTGGTGCATCCCCTCCACTAGTTGATGGGGTACTAGAAGCAAAATCTACCAGCTGTTGAACGTCTGCTGTTAGGTCCTGAATCTTGATGACGTAGTTATCATAATCAAAATAATCACCGTGAGCCATAATTCCAATTTTTATATTTGGTATGTCTCTTAAAAGTCGTTGACAAGTTTCTTTTAATTTTGTCCTCACCTACAATCCGAATATTTTATGAGTTACAAGGAGAAAGAAATAATTTTAAAAAATACGAAATTATTTTATTTGGAGAGATGTAAAAAAATATTTTTTGAAAAAAAAAAAAAAAATCTTTACATTTTTTTTTTTTATAAAAATGAAAATTTGAATTGAAATATCTGACGCTGAAATTTTTGACTTTTTAACGCAACAATAAATAGAAATCTTTTAAGTCTGCAGAAATACCACCGTTTGGTATATCAACGTTAGCATAAGTAAAAAGAAATTATTTACAGTAATAATTTTATTCGTCAAATGAATAAACAAAAACAATACATCATTTAAATTTGAGTAGCCTTACTTACACTCCCAAGATATTGACTCATACTGCCAGTTGTGTCAAAGGAGAACACTACTTCAACATTCTTTCCGTTCGTCTCGAAACTTGAGAGGACGGCATCTTTCAGTTCATCGTCAATAGCTTTATGATCTGTATATTGAGCTGGGTCTGAAATAAATATTTCAAACAATAGAATAAAAGGGAAACGGGAATTTTGCTTCAAAAGTTCAGAGTTATTTTGTAACACTGTTTTAACTGTGGTTTAAAAAGAACATACACCAACCAACAGCACTTTCAAAAATAATGTGCCGTCTTTTTTTTTCTTATGTAAATTATTGGTAATGCTGTTGGTAACTGTACTGGACAGGTTTTCACGCGATTTAAATTTTGAGACATATGGTCTAGATTGGCAAAGGGGGTTAACTGCAATAACCCCCAACACATTGTGTGGCTGTTCAAAGTTTGGTTTTGTGAAGTTCAGATTAAACATATTTTATTTACTCAAAGTAAAATGGATTGGACGCAAGTAAACCGTACTTATGAAGTCCGCTCCAAATTACAATATATAGCAACACAATGTTAATATTAGCATGTAATATTTCAAAATAAACAAGACTTTTAGTTACGAGTCTATGTTTTCTGAAGTCGAGTGTTGGTAGTAAATGTGATCTATTAAACTGTCCAACAATTTGTTGTAAATTTGAATGTTCATACCGATCGAATATTTAACTTTTTACAGAATTTGATAATAAATTTCGTGCACAATATGTCGAAATCTAATCACCTCGTGTCTGGAAACCTAAAACACGGAGCAGGACCTGTTTATCCTTCCGGAGCACCTGAGATCACCCCCGGTTTTTGGTAGGGTTCGTTTTGCTCAGTCTTTAGTTTTCTATGTTGTGTTTTGTATACTGTTGTTTGTCCTCTGGTAGTTTTTTCGTTTTTTGGTTTGGCGTTGTAAGTTTGTTTTCGACTTATGAGTTCGAATGTCCCTTTTGGTATCTTCGCTAATCTTTTGGAAAAGTATGTAAATAAAACATTTACGTTTATAACAGTCAACTGTGAATCATTGTCGAGGTTGGTGACTTCCGGACAGGCAACAGAAAACGCATTCTCCTCCTTTAATCTAGACAGGGTTTTGAGGTAAAGCACGAGGTAAGTGTAATACAAATCCGTCCAGAAAAAGCACTTCACTCTATAATACCGGTATAATACATAAAAACCCGACAGGTACAAGAAAAACGATAATTTATAACACTGTATGCTCACAGTTACTGAAAGCAAGCTCGTAGTACTTTTAAAATATGTCGAAAAAATCCCCCACCCCCCCCCCCCCCCCCACCCCTAAAAAAAAGCACTTTTTTATTCTCGTTTCAAATCAAAAAGGCTATTAAATCTTTCTCAACTGCCTCGGTTATCACCTTACTGGACTCGCCACAGTGTTGGGGTTAACTTAAAAAGAGTTACAAAAAATAATTCCTACCAGCTTCTGTTCTGTCGCAGAAAGTCACTTCTATAACACTTTCCTCTCTAATACTAGTTTCATAAAGTGGTGTGTTACATGGACGATAAAACGTTCCTGAGCTTTTGAATGACTGAAGAGAATAATTAAAGTTTAGTAGATTTTAATGATCACAACTTAATGGAATGCATTATTTGAGTATATATTTATTATAGTATATTGTTGAAAAGGATCAACTAGTAATGCTTCTATCAATGAAAAAGTCAATTAATTCTGATTATATTAATAAGACATTTTAAAGTAAAAATCAAAAACTTAAATATTTGTATAGACGTGCTAAATTTTTCTATTTTCCCCCTTAAACTTTTTCCTTTCATTCTCTAAATGAAAATAAATGAATGCAACACTTACTTTCACTGTTTTTGGACAAACAACCTCTAGGCGTTCAACAGCAGATTTTAAATCATCTAATGTACTAATGTTCTGTATATCTATAGGAGCTGAACCTCCCCCAACTACTTTAGCATAAACTTTGATATCTCTTGGAATTACGAACTGTGAATGAAATAAAAGCATATATTCGAAGAAAACTAAAAGTATATGTTGTAACATAGTCGGCGAAAGAGGTAGAGCCAATTTTTCTATAAATGTTTCACTCGCAGGGTCAAATATAAAATTATTCAAGAGTCCGAAATGTAAAATTAAACCCGTTTTTCAATAAGTTACACATAACGGAGAGTTTTCAAATTATGTAAAATTAACCAAGAGTTCGAAATGTAAAATTAAACCAGTTTTCAATAAGTTACACATATCGGAGGGTTTTCAAATTAAAAAAGAAACTATTTTTTTCTAAAATTAAAAGTAGTTTATGTATGATACCCCTCCATTCTTATAGATGTATAAACTACTTTTGTTGTAAAATCGAATAAAATAAGATCCAAAACACATTAAATAATTATATTTATAAAACACAAATAATACATATATAATATTTTTGTGCTTAAATTTAGAAAGGAAATCCATTCCCCAAGCGCCTGTGGAAAAAATATACAAAACAAATAAGTCAGTTAAAATATTTACCTCTGCTTTTAATATAGTTTCTGGACGAATTCCGAGAAATCCGATTGTTTTAGATTTATCGAGGAATTTTCCTTGGTACTTCACTCTTACTCTCCCGCAGAGAATGTTTTCTTCTTTTGCAATATGCTCATTAATTCTTTTTACTTGTTCATTGGGTAATAATTTCAAAACTGAAGTACGACCTGTCGGTAATTTCACATAAACATCAACTGACGGAGTTGCCATTTTTTCAATAATGTTGTTTAACCATGTTTATCATGTTTATATAGCGACTGAAAGGTATTGTCCAATGAAATATCCTACATTAAAATCTTAAAATATCGTGTTCTATTTTTAGACTATACATGTTAAGATTGTGTTGGTAATACCATCATTACAGAATACGTTGATTGATAAAAGATGGAATATAGACACAGGCACTTGTTTCTATGAGGGTGGTAAAGGGGGTTACTGAACACGGAAACACGTGAAATAAAAATCGCAAAAACGTTGCACGAAAAATAATAAAATGCTCCGCTGGGGCGCAGCTTGATACGACCGCAGAGGTCGAACCCTGAACAGTTGGGGCAAGTATGGACACAACATTCAAGCTTGATACAACACTGAATTTGGATTGTAATTAAATATTTGACACAGCATAGGTTTCTGACACAGAATGAAAGTGGTCTAAGAACTTAAAAAATTTTTAATTTACCTATTCAAACCATATCATTATTATTTGCTTTTATATATAAATCAGAAATAACCAATTTAAAATGGAAAATTTTAAAGAAAAAAAAGGAAAAAAAAATCCCCCCCCCCAAATTTTTTGAACCCCTTTATGATTCATCACCCCCAAACTCAATCCCAGCCTTCCTTTTGTGGTATGGTACCTTGCAGTACAATTTCAGAGAGATCCATACACTTGAGCACAAGTTATTGTCTGGAAACTAGAAAAATGCCTGTTTTTTGGCCCCAAATTCCTAAACGTTTAGGGCAATTACCCCCAAACTCAAACCCAGCTTTCCCTTTGTGATATGGAACCTTGTAGTACAATTTCCATAAAGATCCATACACTTACACACAAGTTATTGTCCTGAAACTAGAAAAATGCTTGTTTTTTTTTGCCCTTTTATGGCCCCTAATTACTAAAATTTTGAGGGAATTACCCCAAAAATCAATCCCAGCCTTCCCTTTGTGGTATGGTACCTTGCAGTACAATTTCAGAGAGATCCATACACTTGAACACAAGTTATTGTCTGGAAACTAGAAAAATGCTTATTTTTGGCCCCTTTTTGGCCCCTTATTCCTAAACTTTTTGGGCAATTACCCCCAAACTCAATTCCAGCTTTCCCTTTGTGATATGGAACCTTGTAGTACAATTTCATAAGGATCGATACACTTACACACAAGTTATTGTCATGAAACTAGAAAAATGCTTGTTTTTTGCCCCTTTTTGGCCCCTAATTCCTAAAATGTGGAGGCAATTACCCCCAAAATCAATCCCAGCATTCCCTTTGTGATATGGAACCTTGTGATACAATGTCAGAGAGATCCATAGACTTACACACAAGTTATTGTCATGAAACTAGAAAAATGCTTGTTTTTTGCCCCTTTTTGGCCCCTAATTCCTAAAATTTGGAGGCAATTACCCCCAAAATCAATCCCAGCTATCCCTATGTGATATGGAACCTTGTGGTACAATGTCAGAGAGATCCATACACTTACACACAAGTTATGTCTAGAAGTTTAAAAAATGCTTATTTTTGGCCCCTTTTTGGCCCCTAATTCCTTAACTGTTGGTACCATAACCCCCAGATTCACTCCCCACCTTCCTTTTGTGGTATTGAACCTTATGGTAAAATTTCATTGAGATCCATTCTCTTAAACTAAATTAAGAGTGCGAAAACTAATGTGTCTTCGGACGACGACGACGACGACGACGACGACGCCAACGTCATACCAATATACGACCACAAAAATTTTTTTGCGGTCGTATAAAAATCAGGAAAAACGAAGCACGAGAAATAAAATCGTAAATATTAAGGAAAAAAGTACCAGGAGTTATTACTCGGCCGTTCTTGGAGATCGTGCAGCCATTATACTATTTCTAATAAACAAAAGTATAACGTCGAATCGTTTTCCGCAAAAATTAAAACTTGCAAGAGTAACTGCTATACATAAAGGAGGACCAAAAGATATTAGCTCCAATTATCGTCCAATTTCTATTTTAAATACCATATCTAAAGTTTTTGAGAGACATGTATGTACACAGTTATATGCATTCTTAAATAATAAAAAATTGTTACATATAGCTCAGTCAGGTTTCAGGCAAGGTCATTCATGTCAAACAGCACTGACTAAACTAATTGATGAATGGTTAAAATATTTAGACAATGGAGAAATAGTTGGTACTGTGTTTTTAGATTTCAGTAAGGCTTTTGACCTTATTAACCATGCCATACTTTTAGAAAAGTTAAAATTTTATCATATCGGAGATAATTCGATAGATTGGATAAAATCATATTTGTCTGAGAGACAACAAGAAGTTCAATACGCTAACATTAAATCTGATAAATCGTTTGTAAAATATGGAGTGCCTCAAGGTTCTATTTTAGGTCCTCTGTTATTGTTAATTTATATAAATGATTTACCACTTCATGTTAAACAATCCGACATGGATTTATGTGCTGATGATTCAACATTGCATTTTCATAATAAAAACATTGAAAAAATAAACAGCTTATTGCAAAATGATTTAAATGCTATACAATCTTGGTGTAACAATAACAGTATGAAAATTAATGCACGAAAAACAAAGTGTATGAAATTGGGTTCAAAACAAAAACTTACACAACCATCAGAATTATGTATTACCGTCAATGAAACATGTATTGAAAATGTTCATTCTTTCAAATTACTTGGAATTGACATTGATGAAAATTTAAGCTGGGAGGATCATGTTGATCGTATATGCAAGATTATCTCATCTAAAATATCACTTTTGTTTAAAATTAAAGTATATTTGCCTATACACAAGACAACTATTTTATAATGCATATATTCTACCATATATAGACTATTGTAGTTCAGTTTGGGGAAATTTATTACAAAAAGATTCAGATAGAATCATAAAACTTCAAAAAAGAGTAGCAAGAATTATACTTGAATGCGATATTTCTGTTCCATCTAAATTTATGTTTTCATCTTTAAAATGGCTATCTTTTACAAAAAGAATAAAATACCAACAATCAATTCTAATGTATAAAATTGTAAATGGACTAACACCTGATTACTTAACAATGCTAAATATTAATGATGTGCAACACCACAACTTACGATCTGTCTCTAATAATGATCTATTTGTTCCTAGACCAAATACAAATTTTTATAAAAAATCTTTTCATTATTCTGCAACAAAGGTATGGAATAATTTACCACTCAAAATAAAAAATTGTCGAAATGTGGAATTATTTAAGAAACATTGTTATAATCATTTTCTTGAAAATTCTATGCAAGTCGAATAATTTGTTTTCTTTCTTTTATTGTGAGAATAAGAAAATTTAATCAAAACTTTACCAATTATTGCCATTTATTGCCATTTGTATGTTTGAATGATTGAATTGTGTATATACAAGTAATATATATTGTATTTTAATATATGAATCGAATGTATGAATGTTAACTGTATACATGTATTTTGTTTGAGGGCCTCAATGAAAATTAGACTACTTCTAATTGAGTTACCCTCTTTAAATAAAGAATTTATTATTATTATTATTATTATTATTATTATTAATGGACATGAAGACTTTGTGGTCAACTTTTAGCGTCCGCTACTTGCATCTGATTTGAAAAAAAAATTATTCATAGTAATTTGATGAACTTTATTACATACCAAACATATACACAAGAAATGAAAAAGTAGATGTGTAGCAATATACATCAAGTTCTATTAGATTACACAAGTTTCAGAAGGTATTATACTGAACATACTTATTTTAAATTAGTCCCGATTTACTTTTTAATCAAAATTTTAAAACGGGACAAGCACGAAAAATTAAGAGCACCGACACGAAACACGGAAAATAAATAAGGGGAAACACGAAGTACGCACATCGCACCAAACACGTGAAAACGAGAAATAAAACGTCAAAACACGAAAACACGTAAAATAAAAAGGCCAAAAACGTTGCACGAAAACAACCCTTTAGCACCCTCTTCTATCCATGGGAATATTATCCATATATTCTATTATATATGGATAGTCGACCTTCCCATGGAAAGAAACAAGACGTGCCTGTGAATATAGATCAGTAATATTTGAAGCACAGACAATTATTTAATAATAAAAGGGGCAGCTAGGGTCCATGTACATGTCCATTATAAATAACTTTTGATATTAATTTGTCCGGAGCGATTTCCATGCGAGGGCGGTCAAAACCGGACAACCTCTGAGGGTGGACACTTGCTATATTTTTTTAATTTTGACCTTTCCCATGACACACAGGCACTCGTCTCAGAAAAAATTTCCTATTTACCTTTTTATAGATAACACCTTGTGTACCTTGTGTTATATAAAGGTATACAGGAAAACAATTTTCTGAGAAGAGTGCCTGTGCCATGACACTATTCTGTGAAAATGGTGAACGTTTTCATTAAAGATCCTATGTAATTCAAGATTTACTGGCGTATTTTCGAGCGTACTTTGATAAATAAAAACACTGAAGAATTGAGAACTGAAGTTTTTTTAGGTTGTGTGTGTAATTTATCCTAAATACATTTCCTTGTATGTTATCAATATCGATGTACTCATATGAACATCCGGGCATCTCTTTTCTATTAGATGGGTAATATATGATATTAACCGTTTCTTTAATAATTCAGAGGCGGATTTAGGGAGGGTAGGGTGTCCGGGCCCGCCCCCCCTTTTATGGGAAAACTTTGCTTGATTATTTAGGAAATCACTGAAGCATGACTAAGCGGGCCCCTCTTATGGCAGTCAGTGGGCCCCCCTTATGAAAATTTCTGGATCCGCCACTGTTAAATATCACAAAAAAATACAGGTTAAATTCAAATCTAGTTTAACCCCAGATCCTGTGAGTGAAAAAGGCAGTCGTCTTAATTCACGGATAAATTAAATTATTATCTATATTAGTACATCAAGAAAAGTATTTCCGACTTTATTGATCTTTATTGAATATTTTGATAACTTGAAACGTTTCAAGAACAGATAATGCTAACGAAGGGAAAGGCGATAAGTAAGCACGCGCTACTGCCTGAAGACTTATTT